AAATGTTGTAAATCAGGAAACAAAATATTGTAAATTAGTAAATCACGAAAGTTCAAATTTAAATTTCAATTATACCTAGTACATATCTGGAAAAAATCCAGAAGATAATTTTTTTTAACTCTATCTATATCTATATATGGAATATGAAATATCAATCCCAATAAATCAGGCAATCAATTTAAATTCCATTTAATAACAATAAAATATTGAAATATATCATCTCTTCCTAATTTAAATATTTGTATATATATACATGTTTACATTCCTGTTTACGTTCCTGTTTCAATACGATTTCAGAGGTCAAAAATTTATCATCAGGTTAACAAGCCTACATTGTTCTTTACCTTTTAGATGTTCTTTTTTTATTCACATTCTTAATCAATTTCAACCCACTTTTCATTCTTGAACTCTTTTTTATTATAATGTTAACCATTTCGAGGAATAGCAACCAAGTTTCATCAGTTTTTTCCCCATTTTTTACCTGTTATCGTTTTATACTATAAATTGTATATTTATCAGTTTTTTCTTTTTTACTTGTTTTTATGATTGATCAGTGTCGACACTCTTGGATGTTGATATGTTTGAAAAGAACTTGGCCACTGGATTATAACCATGTAACATCCCAAAATTCATGACTAAAAATTTCATTTAATTAAGTAATAATAAAAAAAGAAGTCTGAAAACATCCACAGTGCCAACCCATATCATAATCAAAACCAATATGTCAAATACCCAAAACATGTCATAGAAAAATAATATCAGAGTACAACTCCCAAAGATCTAATGTGCGGAAAAACATAGTGTGATGCGCTACGATCATGCAAGCTCCTTTTCCTTTTGAAGAAAAAGTACCTGAAACTAAAACTGAAAACCGTAAGCACGAAGCTTAGTGAGTCCCCCCATTATACCACATACCATACAATAAACATACGGCCTAGCATATTCGGGTGCTGGCCTACCCCTTCGGTCTCTTTCAACTGGTACCGCCTAGCATATTAGGGTGCTGGCCTACCCCTTCGGTCTCTTTCAACCGATAACCGCCTAGCATATCAGGACGCTGGCCTACCCGTTCGGTCTCTTTCAACCAGTAACTGCCTAGCATATTTGGGTGATGGCCTACCCATTCGGTTTCTTTTAACCGGTTACGGGGTCTATTTCACCCCATATCACTACCATATAATATCCTAGCATATAAGCACATAATCACATACTGCCTAGCATATCTAGGTGTTGGCCTACCCCTTTAGTCTTTTTCGACCGGTTACGGGGTCTACTTCACCCCCTACCACTACCACGTAATAACATAGCATACAAGCACATAAATCTCAACAGATAGTGGCATACCAGACAATTATAACAAAGACAATCATCTCTACTATAAACAACTACTAATGGACCGACATTGGTGCCTTCGACCCACTTATATCGGGAAGGTAACTCACCTGAATGTTGAATCTCACGATAAGAAATCCTTGGCTGCAGCCCTGCCGACTCCCAGAACTATCAACACCAGAATGTCAACCAATTAGCAATTAGGTTCCAAACCATGTTCCATAATCCTTACTTGGGGTAAAATGACCATTTTACCCCTGACCCAACAAGACTCACAACAAAGGCCCAAGCCTAAAACCAACAAGGCCCAAAACTATAAGATCCATAAAAGCCCATTAATGGCCTAATTTTCCCAATTGGGACCAAACCCTTATATGGGCCTTTCCCTAAATCCCATTTACTTTTCTAAACCAATGATTTTCCGATGGCCCAAGGGTCCAAGCCCATTGGGCCCAATCAAGGCCTAACTACATTGGGCCTACTAAGGCCCAACTCATCATCCAAGGTCCATTAGGGCAAGCCCAGCAAGGCAAGCCCAACCAGAAATCCATTACTCTAAAATCCTTAGTCCATTATGAGCCCAAACCAAAGGATAAGTCCAATACCAAGCTAGCCAACAATCAAAGAGCCCAAAACTTGCACAGGTGATGCTCACGTCGTGAGCACCTTATGTTCACGTCGTGAGGTCGTGACTTTAGCCCAGAAACTTCCTCGAACATGCTCTCACGTCGTGAGGCTTCATTCCTCACGTCGTGAGTCCAGATCTGACAAAAAATGAGCATTAAGCTCCTAATCCATTAAGCTTTAACATGGGACAGTCTAGAGGGTCTTCTTTGACCCCAAGGACCATAAAAATCGAAGCTTTTCAGTCACATATGTCCAATACATGACTTAAACACCAACTTAGGTCAAAATGAAGGAAAAAGGGCCAAGACTTAAACTTGGAGTCCAAAACCATGACCAAAGTCCAAATTTAGAACTTATAGGCCTTAAGGTACCAACATAATCCATAAAGTTGCCAACTTTATGGATTCCATGCATGCTAACCAACATTACAAACCATAAAATGCATGGAAACTTAGATCTAGCAAGCAAGGAAAGGAGAGGCATGAGCTTGAGGACTTACAAAGGTCCAAAAGCTCCTCAACTAGCTGATGATGAAGCCAAAATGCTAACAAATGCACCACCAATAATCTTCTTCTTCCTCAAAGGGATTCAAAGCTTCAAAATCTCTTGAATAACACCAAGAATAACCAAGGACTTCAATGGGGGCTGAGATTAGGGTTTCTAGAGGTCTTGGGAGTGAAAGAGGCCGAGGAGAAGCAACCCTAATCATCTCATACCTTTAAATTCCCGAAAATTAGGGTTTTGGTGCATCAGGCACTCCTCACGTCGTGAGCACTTCATGCTCATGTCGTGAGCCTTAAATGAACTTGGTCAACAAGTCAACGATCACTCACCCGAACTACTCCAACTTCAAATGGCCATAACTTCTTCGTTTCAACTCCGTTTTTGACGTTCTTTATATCCACGGAAAGGTGGCGAGAAGCTCTACACATCTATCAACTTATACTCACCTCAAAACCTTCCAAACGAAAATCCAAATGTCATTAAGAGCTTGAACTGCCACTTTACCGATATACCCATTGGCTCCAAGGCACAACCCAAACTCTTGGATCACCTCAATTACATTATATGTACCTAATGGGTCTAGATCTCTCTTTTCCAAAGGACCTAAGCCTTATGACAACCTATATTCAGGCCACAGTCCCGAATTAGGAAAGCTATTCGGAACAGGGCGTTACAAACCACTCACTGTAAGGTGGAAAATCATAATTGAGGTCTCAAGAGAATCATATCCCTGCTCACTACCCTCTTCTTATACTTTTCCATACTACCCTTAACCAACTAATTTGCCTAATATTAGAGGTATAACAAATTTGTTCAACTTATTTATGATATTTTGCATTTAAAGGGTAATATCTAACATCAGTTTTCCCCATTTTTTTTACCTGTTATCGTTTTTTACTATAAATGTTATTTTCATCAGTTTTTTCTTTTTTACCTATTAAGGTTTATGGTATATCACATGTCTACTTATGTTTCATAAATCGTATTGCTCTTTACCTTTGAGATGTTCTTTTTTCATCCACATTCTTAATTGATTTCAACCCACTTTTCATTCTTGAATTCTTTTTTATTAACATGTTAACCATTTCGAGGAGTAGCAACCAAGTTTCATGTACCAGTTATGTTATTTTTTCTACCAAAGAGACCCTTTTGTAAAATAGCATTATACTTTCATGAAGAACCGAAAGTTTGGATGTTTTGCCAGTAAATTTATTTCAATATTTACATTGTTGGACCGGCATCTGGATTTCAAAATAGAATCATGATTTATTAATCCTTCGGGTTAAAGTTATTTTTGATTGGTTTAAGTAACCATTCCTTATTTGAATTTAAAAATGTTTAATGCAATTTTTTGAATGGTTTGTTAGTTTAACTTGTTACATGTTTACCAAACCATGGTTGTTGGCATAGGCCAATCCACTATTGTGTTTTGATTTCAAAAGAGAAAATAATCTCCATAATAAAGGGTGATTGATAAACCCAAACCATGTTTTTATGATTGATGATTGTCGGCACTCTTGGATGTTGATATGTTTGAACAGAACTTGGCCACTGGATTATAACCACCCACTGTAAGGTGGAAAATCATAATTGAAGTCTCATGAGAATCATATCCCTGCCCACTACCCTCTTCTTATACTATCTGACATGATAGATAAATACCCTAAAATGCCCCTCCCACTAATAAGATACTCTTTAATTTGATGATTTACCATATTACCCCTAACTAACTTATTTGCCTAACATAAGAGGTATAACAAATTTGTTTAACTTATTTATGATATTTTGCATTTAAAGGGTAATATCTATCATTTTGCCTTTATAAAGTATGTTGTAAAGTTATTTTTAAATCTTTGTTTGATTTATCTTACTTCTAAAGTCTTATTTTAATATGATTGGTCTAGGATATGCTTTTTTCTCCTTTTATCCAGTGTGAAAGTAATTTATTTCTTTTAGTTATATATAAACATGTTAAAATGGAAAGGGATTACGTATATATGCTTCGAGTACTTTTGTTTTCTTTTTGGTGATAGCATTTAAATAAGGAGATGCTAAGGTGAAAATACTCAAATAAAGAATGGAAGTACATTGTTAGCTGTTGCATTTTTATTTATTTCAAGTCCATTGCATTTGTTATTTATTTTAATTCCAATCCACTTCTTTTCGGTGAAACAACAGTGGACTTTATTTTGTTTTCTAATATCATGATACTTTTATTTTTTCTATACGATAGTACATTGCTATTTATTGTATTAACGCCCATATTAATGTTTACTCCTTATTTAATACTTTTTAATCAATAAATAAAGTCAAAAAGAAGATGCTATATTATCCAATATTGAATACAAAAAAGTCATTTTAATATATTAACCGTGTAATACACTGCTATCAATGTCATTTCTGTGATTTATTGTGTTTTTTTTCATTATACTCAAATGTACAATGGAACTAATTGTGTTTTTTTTTTTTGAAAATTTTTGTTAAATATACAAGTTTTTTTTTTTTTTTTTTTTTTTTTATTTAAATTGCAAGGTACAATGGAACATATTACTCCTATAAATGAAATATACTCAATCAAGGAAGATTTCACAATTAAAGTTCGGATCATACGTCTTTGGACTCAAAAGTCAAAATTTGATCCAAACGAGACATACTCGATAGAAATTATTCTGATGGATGAGGAGGTATAAGATGCATATATTCAATTATTATTTTTGTAAAAAGTTATTCATATTCATACCCATTATATTTAAATATTTGTTATTTGTTGCTTTTTTAGGGAAGCAAAATTCATGTATCTTGTGGGAAGAAATGGTTTTCAAAATTACAGCGCTATCTTAAAGAAGATAGTTCAATATACGTCAAGAAACCTAACGTCGCACCAAACACTTCAAAATTGAAGTTTTCTGATCCGGAAATAAAACTTAACTTTTACCACGATACAACTGTAAAAGATTATGAAAACTTTTCTGGATCTGCACACGGCTTTGATTTTGTTGACTTCAATACGATCGTTTCGAATAACATCTTGGAGTCAAACTCTTTTGGTTAATTCATTTAATATTAACTTTTGTTATATGACATCCTACTTTCTTTCTTTGGACTACAAATTGATCATTTTTATTAACTTAAGCATATGTTTTGTTGATTTTGTAGATATTATTGGACACATTTTTTAATATGGGCGTATGGATACCTCTGAACAAGATAAATCAAAACAAAAAATGCTCTTGCATCTTCAAGATATAGAGTATTCGCCATTATTACAAACAAATAATACAATTTCTTTTATATTGTCTACAATATTTGTTTATTGTTTCAGGGATACTAAGCTTAAAGTAACTTTATGAGGTCAGAATGCATACTACATGTGTGATTTTCTTACTAACAGTAACAGCCTTGATCCAGTTGTTGTTATTGTTCGGTTTGCCAGAGTGAAGTTTATTAATGGTTTGTAATTATTTTTAACAACCATTTTCTAAAATTTTATATCTAATTAAATAATAAATTTTATTATTGCAGGTCGTCCTTTTTTATCCAGCTATTGTGATGTTAGTTGGTTGTTCATAAACAATGACATCGATGAAATTACAACCTATAAAAACTAGTACTTTCATTTATACTTTCCTTTGTATTTTCATATTTATTTTTTTCATACTATAATAAATTTAATTCATTTCTTTGTTATAAATGAACAGATTGGTTTCTCAAAATGGACAACAACTTTTATCAAGTGCAATCAATATGATTGCATCAAAACAAGACACGGAACACGATGATTTTCTGAAAAATCATTTGTTTTCTAACATTGATGATTTGTTTGAACCTTTGGAGGTACTTTACATTTTTTTTAAGTTGTGAGTTTAATACGCTTTTATTTTTAGATTTTAAAAGTGTAACAAACAAACAGAGTATATTGTTATAACGCAACTAACATACATTTTCACAAACTAACATTTATTAACATTGAACATTATTTAAATTTCCAGGAAAAAACGGTCATTGTTGGTACTGTTAAGGGAATACGTCAAAACATACGTTGGTATTACCTTGCTTGTAGTAACTGCAAAAAGTCATCAAGACAAAAAGAGTCTTCTACTGATAAGGTTGATGGTTCTCATGAAGTGGCCAAAATCGTTACTTATGAATGTGTTAATCCTATATGTAAAAATATCCAAATTTCGGTTATTCCAAGGTATTACATATTTAATTTACATAATAAAAATATATGTTTATCATATTTGTGTAATATAATATAATTTTATACATTATTTAGATTTAAAATCCCACTTCGGTTTCAAGACAACACAACAACCTTGACTTTAACCTTATTTGATCAAGAAGAAAAGAAGTTGTTCAAATACACAGCTAAAGAGTTCTTTGATAAAAACAAGAAGGTATTATTTTATAGTTGTTAATTACTTATTTATGTTATACATTATATATTTTACATACAAATTTTCTAACAATATCTATTTATATTTTAGCTTGGCATCAGTTTGGAATTGTTTCCAATGGAGTTGAAAGTTGTGGTGGACAAAAAGTTGGCAATTAAGATTGATATCACAAGTTACAATATCAATAATAAAATTAATATTTATGGGATAGCAAGATTAACTGAGAATACAGAAATAATTGATGAACTGGAAAAAAAGAATCTTATTCCACATATTTTTTTCAATACTTATATTTATTTTTTACCACATTGACCCAACTATATCTAACTCAATAGCATTTTGTTTTGTTCTTATGATTTAGCCTGGTAATTTTGATTGATTCCAGATTGGTTCTTCAGATATTGGTTCCCAAGAGACCAGAGTTGTCAAGGTTGTAGTTTTTAAATTATAATTCTTAAATATTTTTTTTAATGTATAACAACTAACTAAAATTTTTTCTAGGATTCTTTTTCACAAACAGCTAAAAATTTAACACCATGTGCTAGGGACAACTCAACTACAACAAGCCCTACATAGTTGATTTCTACACCAACTGACATGAAAAGAAACCTTGCTACATGCATAGATCTTGATGAAATGAAGAATTTGTCTACTTCTAAAACTGCTGGATTGTCACCACCAAATAAACAACCAACGCCTCTTTTGGTGCCCAAGAAATAAAATTAAATGTATTTTACTTTTACAAACAATCTTAGTTTGTGGTTAATTTTGTTTCCGCATCATAGACTCCTAAGCCGTTTAGATTTTTAACTTTGTTGGTTTTGAATGGGTTTTGTTTGAGATTTGATGGTTTTCATATTTGTTTCCTGAAAGTACATTGGGTTTTTTTCAGTCCTATAATGTCGTTTGCTATGTTATTTTGTTTTTTGTACAACTGATTTTAGACTACATTGCTTTTTTCTCCCAAATTATTGAAAAATTACATTCATATGTTTGTTTTGGCAGTTAGTTATATGTTTAAAGCAACATTGACATATGAAATATTTCTAATGGTATCAAACTGATATTTTACTTTAAAACGGATGAACCTATTAAAACTCATTTAAAATTACAAAAAAGTGAGAAATTGTTCATAATAAAATCAAGAAATATGAATCACTAATTCATACACATAAAAGGCAAAATATGAATCACTAATTTAGATACATAAAAGGCAAAATGTCAAAATTCAAGTCATGGTAATATTTGGTAATATAACTTAATTTAGATTATCTTTTATAAATTTATTTGAACTAAAATACTTTCCTATATTGTATATTTTTATAAAAGAATATAAAAAATAAATAAATAAACTTTCTTTTACTAATATTTAGTTATTTACTTTATGTTTATATATAAGTTAGATTTCTACTTTTAAAAATTTTGTTGAAAACAATGTATATATTTAGTGCCAACACTAATTTGATTCAATAGTAATTATACTTTGATTCAATAGTAATTTGAATTTGAAAACTAATTAGATGCTCTGTTTCAATTATAAAATTGGAAAACTATGATCAGAAACTAAAAAGCGATATCTAAAATTCAACTTTTACTTCTCTTTTAAATATAACAATCTTATTAAGCAAACTGCAAACCATTGTTAACCATCAAGTTTTTAACTTATTAAACCTGATTATATGTTGATCAAAAAATAATAGAATCCATTGACTTGGTGTTTCTCTTAGATTGACTGTTTTTCCCCTGTGTTGGTGTTTCTCTTAGATTGACTGTTTTTCCCCTGTGTTGGTTGGCAACATTTCTAGGTTTTGCTCTAAGTTGGACTGTTTTGCCCAAATGCAACTATATAAATGGCATAGACTTATCAGTCAGAGTTTAGCTTTCTCTTTTTATTAATATATTGCTTTACTGCAAAAAAAAAAAAAAAAACTATTTAAAACACATTATAGGTTTCATATAGTGTCAAGAAGATCTCCAAGGCAATTCCAATTCCTTAAGATAATCTCCACCAGAGTTACATTTGGGTCAAATTCCTGATCAATTGGTTTCTTAATAATTACTTTAGGTATTGGAACCAAATTGGTTTCTTGATAATTTTCATCCTATAAATCAAACAATTTGTAACGCCCGTGTCTCTAGGCTAGGCATTAATAATGATGTAATAGTCTAGGTCAACCTTTGTAACGTGTTTTGAAGTAATAAGAATGAATTATGTGAATTTATGCGCCTTATATTTAATTATGATGATATAATAAATTAAGGATAAAAATAAGCGTCAAAAGTAAAATGTTAGATAAACCTGATATCTATGAAGAAAGTTGTAGTGGTCGTAATAAGGATTCCGGAGATATAAAGAATGCCGAAATCCGAGTTATAACGAAGAAGTTATGACCTGTCGAAGTTTCGCGACAGAACCGACACGACGCTGTGTGACGTAAAAAGTGAATTTACAATAAAGTGCTTTTTAGCCTTAGCAATCTAAATAAAAGTCGTAGTATACGTTAAACCGAGAGCGTGCATAAAAAGAATGTCCAAATCTGACTTCGTATGAGAAAGTTATAAATTTTCTAAGATTTGGCATGACAGTATGCAGCCCGGAACTCGAAATATAGATCGAACGATTTTTAGCCGACACAACCTAAACGGGAATCGAAGATCTTGTCGATAGTAGTTTAACGGTAAAAATACAGACAAAAACGAACGTTGGATGAACAAGTTATGAATTTTTAACGGACTTTTCTTGTCCCGGTCTGTTAAAAATATAACTTTAAAAATAAATTCAAAATTAGCCGACGGAGTCTAAACAAAAGTTGTAGAGTATAACCTCACCTACGCGTGCATATATAGAGCATCGAAAACGGAGCTCGTATGCGAAAGTTATGAATTTTTGAAGTTTTAGACACAAACTTCGAGGCTTGTCCGAAAGGAGTATGCCCAGCGTACATGTGTATTCGGTCCGAAATTGGCCACGTAGCCTACTCCCTTGCATGGTGCACACGTTTTCTTAGCCTTGAAGCGTCCGAAGTGATCCCTTCTTACACCCAGCGTACTTGGTCTACGCCCAGCGTAGAGCCTCGCAAGACAGTACGCCCCGCGTAATGTGAGGCTTCGGCCACTATAAATAGCATGCGAAGTCAGCCGAATTAATGTTACAAAATCCTTCTCTCTTTCACTCTCTACTCCTTCTCTAGCCACTCTAAACCACCCCGAAGCCTAGGGAACCTCCGTAATACCCGAAGCAAGTCCCGAAGCTCCGAAGACCCCCAAAAAATAATTTTTTCGAGTCAAAACTCTACTCGCGTAAAGCCCCCGTTTTTTGAGCAAACCTCCCGGTTTCATCGAAAAAGATTGTTTTAAGGAACGAAGTGTTGTCCAATCACCACCACATCAGGTGATTTTATAGTCACTTTCATCTTACACATAGATATGAAGTATTTTATATGAAATACGTGCTATGTGTATATATGATGTTTGTTTATTTGAGATGGATGTTGAATGAATGTTTTATACATGTTTAGAATGATTTAAACTATATATATGTAATTTTTTTATCTACAAATATGCTGGGTATAACATGGGTAGATAAAATAATTGATGTATGATGAAATAAAATGATGAGAGGTCTCGATGTTGATGATGTTCCAGTCATCAATCAGAATATAGATGTCGACCACGGACTTTTCTAGACAGTCTAGTGCAACATTAACAGGCTCGTAACCTGTAGGTGTTTTTGAACTATGTGTTCATTAGGTGTTTTTGAACTATATGTTCATCAGGTATTTTTGAACTATGTGTTCATTAGGTATTTTTGAACTAAGTGTTCACTAGGTGTTTTTGAACTAGGTGTTCATTAAGTATTTTTGAACTAAGTGTTCACTAGATATTTTGGAACTACGTGTTTACCAGATGTTTTAAACTACGTGTTCACCAGTTATAATTTAAGAACCCTGGCAGTGATGGACTTCGTGCCTATTCCCTAGGATAATCCTTAGGAATGAATGAATGAAGGACAGCTGATTCTTAAGATCTTTAAGAATAAAGAAGATAATGAGGATGGGAGATTGGGTTGATCGTTTGATGTTTAAACATAATATATTTATCTATTGTGGGTTGAAAACCCTATGTACTCACCAGGCTCCCAAGGCTGACCCACATAGCTTTCTATATTACAGGTAGTGGAACAAGATCATAGTTGGATGATGACGAGAGATTTTGAATTACAGGCCAGTAAATGTAAATAAAAGTTCTAAGGCCTATATTGTACTGTTTATGCTTTTGATCTGTATCGATGTTGACATCCCAAGTTTGTAATGAAATCAAAATACATTTCTTTAAGAAATGCTTTGATAAATTTTTATCATATTTTGTTTTGGGAACAAATTCCGCCATACTTTTTGAAAGATTACTCTGATTTTATTCTAAAAGCATAAACGAAATCGGTCTTTTCTGGCCGTGAAAATGGGGGATGTCACAGTTGGTATCAGAGCATTAGTTTAAGCGAACTAGGAATTTGTAGGATTTCTAGACTTAAACTTAGAATGCTAAGTGATGATTGTGAGATGAGTGTCTACCATATTTTAGACACGAGCACTAGTATATTTTAGGAAAGATGCCTAAAATACTTTTATGTGCTAAATGGTATATGTTTTCAATATATGATATTATTTATTCGGATCTATGGTATGTTGCCGACAGATCTGGAAAGCTTATGTGTTCATGAGTCTAAGCGTATGACTACGATATTAGAACCGGCATGTAATGTTTCGGACTGATAAGGAGAATTTAAATATCTATCATGAATAAAGATCTAAATTCGCCTAATTTGTTGTATAGATTATAATGGCAAGAACCCAAAGTGGAGCTGGAAATGCAAATAGAAATCAGCAACCTCAACCTCAAGTGATGGAACAGGTGCCTATAGCAGAAGCTGCACCAGAACCAATCACAATGGCTGGAGTACAAGCCATGATTTAGACAATGATGGCTGAACAAAGGGAAGAAATGAGACAACTATTGCTGAACAACAGGAATGAACCTTCAATGCCTGTTAAACAACCTGAATTAAATGACTGTCACTCAGAGGAAGGGAATTACAGTAGATCTGTTGGTCAAACTGAACCGCTTGTGGTTAGTAGGAATAACCAAGAGCATGGAGTCGAGAGAAATGGATGCAAGTACAAAGACTTTATGACTTGCAAGACGTCAACTTTCACTGGAAAGGAAGATCCCGTCGGAGTAATGGATTGGATCTCGGAGATGGAATTAGCCTTCATGACATGTGGTTGCCAAGGCAAGTTACAAACGATATTTGTAGTGTGTCAGTTCAGAGGTGGCGCTGTTTGCTAGTGGAACACTCTGGGGAAGACCCTAAGCCCTAATGAGCCACTGCAACTGACTTGGGCAGAGTTCTT